CGCTCTCCTGGCTGCATCTGCTCTGCTGGGGCTCTCCATGAATTGCTCCAGCCTCCTGGTAGTCTTCCAATTTGTACTTTCAGAAAAAGCATACATTTTGAAATCTTTCTACAATATTAATAATGAATTTTCTCTGTGGGTATTTTTATTGGAATTGAATGTTAATCAATTGAAGGAACTATCATCTTTATGATATTAATTTTAGCTCTGCATTAACATTGTGTAACTTTTTATTTAATTAGATTGTATTTCTGAATCTCATTTTTCTGTTTCCCCAGAGAGTTTATACATTGTTTATTAGATTTATTCATAAGTATTTGATATTTTTATGCTATTGTTAAAGGTGTCAACTTTTTAAACATGTTCTAATTGTTTATTGTCAGCATATAGAATGATCTTATATACACACACTTTGCTACTTTCTTCTATCATTTCCAATATCTTTTTCTACAGAATAATTTTTTAGTAGATAATTATATCTTATGAAAATAATATTAATTTTCTCCTTTCCAGTCTTTTTGCCTTAAATTTATTTTTCTTGTCTTATGGCTCTGGCTAGGATCTCTTGTACAATGTTGAACAGAAATAGTGAAAATGGTATATTACTAAACTAAGAAAAAGCGAAAACTGTCTTATCTTGTTATAGTGTATCCTCAAAAATAATCCATAGCAAAACAGCATACTTAATGATGATTCATTAAAAAACATTCTATTTAAAATTAGAATCAAGAAATGGAAGACTACTATTACTACTTTTATTCAATATTGTACTGGATGTTCTACAGTGAAACAATAAAAGAAAAAAATAAGTTAAAATACTGCAATAGAAGCAAAAGTGGTCATTATTTTAGATGATATGATTATTGATATATTATCAACCAAAAAAATCCTAAATTCAGATACATTATTAACACTAGAGTTAGGAACTATTGCTGTTTAATAAAAGGATAAACTTATAATGTATGTCATTATACCAGTAACAAACAGAAAATATTATTTAAAGAGATATGCATTATTATACCTATACAACATATAATATGTCTATCAATCTAATAATAAATGTGTAATATATTTCTAAAGAAAATGATAAATTCTTATTTAGAAAAATTAAATGAGATCCAAGTCAATTAACAGAATGATGTTAAGAAATGTCAATGGGAGGACTCAGTATGCTAAACATGTCAATTTTTCTCTAATTGACTAATGGGCAATTAATAGTTAATTAATAATTCTAAGAATACCAATAAAAAGTCCACAGGTTTATTTTTTAAACTTTAGCAATTTGATTTCTAGTTTTATATAAGTGCAGGGTTAAGATTCACTGTGCCACAAATTGAGTTAATAGGCCTTATGAGATACTAATATTTAAACTTTAATACTTAATATGCTATTGGCTCAGGGATAGAGGAAGAACCAGACCAGGCAAGTAACAGAGGTGGCAT